TTGTTGTTCCTGCTGCTGCTGTCACTAGGTGCCATTGGGCATGTTCTAACTCATAGCAACCCCATGTAACACAGAACAAAACACTGTCACACACCCCATATGAAACAGAACAAAACAGGTGCCAATTCCCCCCTACCACGTGCCTCTGGAAGTTCTTCCAAACTGTCTTTAGCATCATAGCCACATGCAAGCTTCAACTGACAGATGGTCGGTGGCTGTGCAAGAGGTTCATTGGCTAGAAATTAAACCCAAGCCTGCTACAAGGAATCTGGAAACACTATAGCCAATGTCCTTTGCTGGGGTTCTTTTCTCTATATTAAACATTCCTTAGCAACTTCTTGAAAGCATCATACTTAACAAGTTTGAATTTCTTTGCATTGGGCATATCAATGGAGAAGAGTGAAACCAATTTAATATTTCTTAAATACAGACATTTTCCCAAAGAAAAAGTGACACACGTGCCTAAAAAGATTAGAAACGTCTTAGTCTCATTAATTTTTGCTACATACTTTACAAAGATTGTCTGGAGAAAGCACCTCATGAAAAGCAAAACGAACCCAAACCGCACTGCCATCCACAGGTTCCTACGCATAGCCACCCTCTGTCCCTGCGGGTGTCCGAGGCCGTCAGTCTTTACAAGAACACAAGCCTCCTCTTTCTCCCTTGGAGCCACTGGTAAGGTCAACATGATGACCTTGTTATTAACAGTGACCCAACAAGTTACCCACTATGCCACCAGGGCTCCTTACAAAACGCCTCCGTACCAGGGAAACCGTGTGTCATTTTTCTTAACTCTCCAGCAAAATCATCACGCGTTAGCTCATCAGAGTGAGTGAATGAAAAAGAGATTCTGACTTATTATTGAACCCTTCTCCATGTCCATAACATGCTCAAATATTTATTTTCACTAAACCTTTAAGATAACCAAAAATATGGGGAGGTGGGTGTGGGAGACCTGGTAGGGCAGGATCAAGGGGAACGTAACAAAGAGGAAGTGCTGAAATCCTGGTGGGGACTGAGCATGA